AAAACTGCTCGAGAAGGGCTGCTCGGTACTGCTCGAGAGTATACTGGGAGGTGTCGCCTGCAGCTTTCTTGGTCTGCAGTGCGAGACGTCGTACAGGGGCGAGATTTGGTGCCTTGGAGATTGAGCGTTCCAAGAAACGTGCCCCTGTTGGTCAGTGTACGGCTCGTCGCTGATCTCATTGTACTGCCGAAATTGTTCGAGGAAGTTGGAGATGAAACCAGCTTGGGACCCTCTCCATACACCTTCTGCGATATCGGCGGAGGTGAGATAACACGAAATCTTATCCGAGCGCAGGGTTGCGACCATGGACTTGGAGTAATATTCGTCAATTGCCTTCCAGATCACACGAGTGTCCTTGTTGGTTTCGTTGGCAAGGACAGACTTGCCTGTGCTCTGGAAGATGTCTTCGAAGGTCTTGTACACCTTCTGTTTCCGTCTAGTTCGACGTTGGTGACCAAATCAGAATCAATGAGGTGGGAGAGACCTGAGATTTGAGCGTGTTGAGGAAGTTCTTCCTCCATTTGATGAAGACTGATTCTCGCGAAACTCTCTGAACTTGAGCGGACGGGCTTGTTTTCTTGTCCCAAAGTGCGATTGCACGCTCCCCATCGGTCATCGTGGCATCGCTGCGTCTCATTTGTTGCCATGGGACGATTTCGCCGTGTGGCTGGAAGAGTCCAACTCTGAAAGCGTCGAGTGCGTCGGCCGTCAGTGTTACGACGCGGATGGGTGCTTCCTCTTGGACGACCAATGTGATACATCTGTATCGCCGCGAGCAGTAGCTTCTTCCTGGTGAGAGGTACTGGTCTTGCATGCCGTTGGTTGTCGTGAAGCTTGGAGATCCATAACTTATCTTTGGTGAGAAGTAGGAGATCCATCCATCCGTCGATTCCTTGTTCAGACAGTGCGATGCGCATGTGAGATGCAGTGTACCCTGTGGTGAAGCTCTTCGCCGCATAGGTGCATAGGACATGCTTGAGCTGGCTGCTTCATCGGCCATCTTGATGAGGTGTGGCAGTGCGTAACTGCGACTAGTTTAATCTGCTAACGGGGGAAATACTACTTGAATAGAGGGATCTTGTAGAGGTAGCTACCACCCATCCGACGAGATCAACTCAACTATTCAAGACGAGTGCAAGGTAAATGCAAAGTTCGCTTCTTAGTAATTCATAATCTGTGTTGTGAGCTTTGATTGATGCGATCAGTAAAGCTAGTTGTAGCGTGTTGGATCAATGCATCGTGGTAGTTGATCTTGTTCATAGGAAGTCAACGTGGTATTGCGGAAACGGTTCGTTGGCAGGATGCTTTACTCCTGTCGAATACTCCAATTTACCGTGTCCTTTGGTTTCGTTTAGGACGTGAGAACGTGTTCTTGCCAGCGTTCTCTGTTCCATCGTGTTGACTCATAAAACATGACTCAATCTACTCACGGATACTCTGAGTCGTGGGAGGAACTGTAATGCTTTCAACAAGAACAAAAAATGAAGAAGAGCGACCATGGTGTGAGTTACCGATCATCAGCGAAATGACAGATTTGGCGAAGGAGTGAAGGAGTGAACGTACCTGTGTAAAGTTCCTCTTGCTATGGTATGGTGTCTGCCGGCCATGCTTCCAAGACATAAACCTGGCAAGTGCCGGCTGGTATTGTTCCTGGAGTGACTTGCGCTTCCTCGCCATTGTCGAGGTTGGTAACAAAAGAGCGAGTAGCCGAGCAACAAAATAGCGATAGGATTTGCCCATAGCTTTCGCTTACCAGTGCTGATCTCCAAATTTATGAGTGGAATGCCGAAGAAATGAAAAACTGGTTGGTCGATCTGAGATACTCCTACTTGGATCCAACGGCAAAGTCAATCGTATCTGGTGATTCGTCGGTTGCAAAGAGCGGATCTTGGGGCGTTTCTCCTCTCTCTGTACTAAGAGAGATGTTCCGTGCACATAAGTCTTTGGGTTACGCGGAACGTTGGGATGCGATTTTGTGTGACTAGGTTGTATTTTTGGCACGAGTGACTAAGATACTTAGGGCAAAAGTTGTATTTTGGGGTTGCCGATGCAACTACCAATGCGATTCTGAATAGTATTGGATACCCTCAAATGACTGGTTTTCCCCGGCAGAATACCCTCGCGGAATCAATGGTATCACCAGTCCCCAATATACGATTACCAATACTTAGGCCTAAGTGGGGGTGAAATATGTACTAAGACTACTAGGTAAGTCCCACCAGCGCATACAACTTCCCTAAGAGTGATACCCTCTATCATGTGACTACGGTTGTATATTAGTAATACGGCACGGGTACTTTAAGTACCAAGTCGCAGGCTTTGTAGTGGTTAGTTCTACAGTGGTCAGCGGTGAGGCCATGCACGCCACCGGAAGGCGTTACTACGGATTCAGATTCAATTAACCGCGCAAGGCTTCTCTCAAGAATTCGAGGGGCTCTCTCAGGAATTTGAGGCTCCGCTCAAAATCTTACTTAAGTGGATTTTGCTGTTTAAGGTTAGAGATCATCAATTCTTTCAGGCCGTCAGTTGCAAAATCTCTCTCAGTTTTTCAAGCTGAGTTCGGATTTGTTGCTCTGTAAAACATGTACCAGATCTCTACTACAGAGCAAGTCGGATTTCTGAGCGGAGCCTCGAATTTCTGAGAGGAGCCTCTATGGTCAATTATTCCCGAATACTAGCTAGCTACCGGTAAGGGTTTTTCTCTGGGAAGACAGTTTTTGACGCGTAGATGGGGTGATGTTAGGGTTAAAGTTAACATTACTCACATTATTTAAATCCAAATTTTGATATACAGCGTACCTCACCTACCACGATTACAAAGTGGTCGAAGATAGGGACAGCGAATCAATCGAATCGAATGATGAATCGAATCAGGATTCTTTCAAAATCACTCCATACCCAGTCCAAACCCAACCAAAACTCTCAGCGCCCAACCACGGCTTGGGTTCTCCAGCTACTAGTCTAGACAAGCCAGCTGGAGGAATCTGAGGTTGTACTGAAGTCAGTTCCAAGGGCTGCAGTCATCTGTAGTTCTGATCACCTCAGCATGTTTGCTGCTACCAACTCTTCCCGTGCTACCAGTAGCAGGAATGATGACAAAGGCTGCCTACCGTACAATAAGCTGATCATCCCACCCTTGATCAGGTCGTCATGACAGGGGACAATCCATGCAGATGCTGCCGAGAAGGCATCACGGAAGCAATTTCCAATTTTTCTATTCCTGGCGGTAACTAAACTCCTGAACGCTTGCTACTATCGGCACACTTCATCGGACCCAATGCGTATCGAAACCACAAACTGACTTTCACTTTGCCTACTGAGGCACAAGCTAGGTCCCAAGCTGCAGAAAGCAAACCAGTGCCACAACTCTATTGTTTTCTTAGCTATCCTCGCACAGGCAAAGTTTGGACGTTTGTACCATCGTCATCAAAATCCTCTCACAGGCTCAATACTTGGTACCACTGGACGACTTTTTGGTAAAGAACTCTCTCGCCGATTGTTCTTCCTTGCGCCTGTGATAGACGCGTCGCAAGCCACTGTAGGACCACCAAGCAAATGCTGCCGATCCCAACAGTACCACTCCTTCTTGGGCCACGGATTGTAAAATGACATTCGTTCGTGACAACGACGCAGTACCACTATTCTGTTGTTGCTGTTTGGAGGACACTGCTAACCACGATGCCGGGACCAACAATGGCAGATGTTTGTACTCCTTCGTCGCCGCGTAATACCACACGGATCTCCAAAAGGCACCAAAGCCCAACACAAAGGAGAGATTTTCCCATCGCTGGGATCGTCTGAGGCCCTGCAATGTTTGGCATTCCACACCTTCTCCAAACAACCGTCGTGTCTTTGTATCCATGTAGGTTGTGACACGACGCATCGTCAAGGAAATGCGAGCATGAGGATCGTGTTGTTTTTGATCGTCGTCCGTGCTGGTGCTGTTGTGTCGAGTTGGACCACATCCACCGTGAAGTGGATCTTGCACGACGGGCAATATGGAATGGGTAAAGTACCGATTGGTGACGGGTCCCAACAACAACATGCTTCCATGAGGCAATAAGACTCGTGTCAAATCCCTCGGTTCGGCCCTCCGTCGCAGTTCCAAAATCCGTGCGGCGCCAATACTGACACTGACAATGGCCGCGTGTTTGTCGAGATCCAAATCTTTATCTCCATGATGCGCAATATAATCATCGGCGTGTCGATAGTAATTGGTGACGCAGTGATTCATGGTTTGTTGATTGTAAAAATGCGGCAATGCCGCTTCGACTGTTTGTTTGATATCGAGTGATGTGGGACTCCAGGGAAATGTTTCCCATTCGTCTCCTTGGTAATTTCCGGGATATCGGTAGACTGGGATGATGTTGCCGTCATCCTCATCACTATTGTTGTTGGTGGTGCTGTTGATTGGCACAGGACCATCCGTGTCGGGATCGTAGCGATAAAAATCGGCTTGCAAATTTTGCAACCTTGGCAACACTTCTCCTTGAGCGCCCTTGAATCCATCAAAATCCAATTCGTCGAGCAAGGTGGACATGAGTTCATCCTTGTCCTTGTCAGCAGCAAGGACATTGAGATGCAATTCCGTGTCTCCCGCGGCCAAACCGTACAAATTCTGTGGATTGTTGTTACTAGTCGTAGTAAAATCCAACAAGAGTGGCACATGATAGCCACGAAATAATCGGTGCAATGCCGTTTGCGCAATGCGCTGATAGCACTGTCCCAATCTACCACACGTCACACCGAGCAGTTGCGATCCAAAGTATCGTACGACCACCACAACGGTTCCTGCCGACTTTGAGGACGAAGCGCCTCCCACTTCTTCGGGAAAGAGCCAGATCCCGTCGGTTTCATGTTTGCTTTCTTGTACTTGTTCCAATAAGAGTGGTCCCGTGGATCCTTCGGGTTCTCCATCTTCATTGTAGCCACTGCGACTGCTGCCATATTGGGGTGGTGTCCGATCGCTTTCATCTTGCATGACTGCATCATTGTTGTCATTGTCGTTGTCATGCTGTTGCAACGGCGGCAAATTCCACGCATACGGAATGTGTGTGGCAGTGGGATGGAGTTGTCGAATGCGATGGACAAAATCAGAGACTTGGGAAGGTTCCGTGATTCCCGTCGTGGCAAATCCCCAAAAGACGGAATCGGCCACTTGACTGTACGCCAACGGCACCAAATTGCTGCGGAGGCGTCCTTCCGGGGTATTGTCGCGTTCCAAAGTAGAATCCGAAGAAAACCGGAGCAAATCGGAGGGTCGTTTCGTGATGGTATGGCGTCGGGCATTGCCCAAATCTTCTCGATTGACGGCATCTAGCGAGTCCAGGGAAATATCCAATCCGTCCATGGAATGAGTCGACAAGCGTGGAATAATCCGCCGAAACTCGTCGGCTTGTGATGGCGTAAGAGAATGATCACCGGGTTCGTAGTACTGAGACGCCATGTCGCGTGTAGTAGGATCGGTCGTTGATGACGATGAATAGTCACTATTGTTGGATTCTTTGGAGGATGATGTTTGCAATAATTGCCGACTGGAATTTCGTTGTTGCTTCTCTCCTTTGAGTCTCAAAATTTCTTCTTCATCAATGGATTGACGGCGACGGATTTCCACTTCTTCTTCCAACCATTCATGCCGCGAATGGATCAGAGGAGCCACCTTGTTCTTGACACTGCTGGGACTCAGGGGATCTTCGGGCTTGTCGCTGCGATGGGGACTTGCCACTGTGGTTTCATTCATGTTGCTTCACTATCTACCGTACTTCTTTCTATTTTCTGTCGGTCTGTCTGTCTGGGATTGATGACAACCACAACAGCACAACAGCACAACTTTAGAATAAACCAGAACAACAAAACAAGATGAGAGCCAACTAGCTAGATCTAAGAGCCGTCGATGTCACTTTTACGAAAAAGACTTGGCAGCTGTTCGCCTTTTCTAAAGATCGAGTGTGCTTCCTGACATTTTATTCGACGTGTTTGTTGCTCGACTTCGAATTGGTTATATTCGAATTCTTTCGATTCGATTGTTCATTCGATTGACGACTCGACCTATTAATACTTGGAAACCGTGACTGAACAGTTTTCAGTACATGTAAAAGGGTTATTCGGGAATGAAGTTTGTTGCGTTGAAGCAAAGAGCAGGCGTGAACAGTCAACAACAATGACAGACAGAGCTCGAGGTGAACGCGGACAATGGAACTGTGTATGGGTAAAGCACGCAACAAGGGGAGGGGGGAGTTGCTTCCCGCTACGCTGTACCGTGTCTACCTAGTAGACTAGCTAGAGTACATGTAGATCAGCTTCCATTTTCTTTAGCTTGAAAAGTTTGTTTCCTATTTCATTGGGTGAGGATTTGCTTGGTCTCCGTTGATTGTCGGAGCCACTGTGGAGGGTGGATGAGTTGCAACGGAGGATGTTCCAGCGTTCCAGCAACCTGCAACTACCGGTATGGAGTGCATGCCAAGAGATTGGATGAATAAATGAAGGCGAGCAGCTGCTATCTCCCTCTAGGCTCCACTACTACTAGTAGTATCTCCCTCCGCCAACATAGGCGGAGAAGAACACGTGAACACATACAACATCTACGTTACTGGGCATGGAGAGTGTAGAGATTTACGTTACTGGGCATGTAGAGTGTAGAGATTACAGTAGTTTTAGAGGAGCAACTCCCACGACAAGATGCATGTGTTCATGTCATTATTTATTTGCTTTGCAAGCGTTAAATTTGCTGTTAAATTGGAACACGTACACTGCACACTGGCCTGATGAGACTACGAAGAAGCATGAAGCATGTATGCAATCATCTTCCACCATCAAACCTATTAGGGGTGATTGCCCGGGGCTCCTCAATAATCAAGAAAAAAAGCACCTGGCAGATTCATTTTTTGTCGAGATGTCGAGATCCAATGCGATGCTCCGTTTGGTGTTTGGCTGGATGTTCCAAGAGGTTCAAAATCAACTATTCGTGGCTTCTCTGTTCTCTGGAGTCTGCGACACTCGAGATATCATAATACTCTGGACTCTGGAGTAGATGATAGGTACTGTTGTCTGGCTAGCTAGCTAGATCTACTAGTAGGAGTAGTAGCTACATCTAATGTACTGCTAGCTAGCTAAGCTGGTGGCAGTGGGAGGAGGGGGCGGGGAAGGAGGCAGAGCGGCAGAGCAGCTCTTCATGACTTCATGAGGTTTCGAGACTCAGCGGTTATACTTATTGATGGTTGATGATATGTGCTACGTTGGTGATCGGTGATGTGGATGACTGTATGTAGAAGAGTCTGATATCTGATGGCAAGCAACAACTCCGAACGAGAAACTTTTTTAGCAACCACATCAACCTACCGTATCACCTCTATTCTATTAGCAACCGAGAGGTCAACCGAAGCTACTACTAGTAGTACAGTGCTGGTAGTACAAGTACCCACCAACTCTTGATCTCTTGATGATTATCTATCGAGCAGCAACGAACAGAAGGAAGAATTCAGTGGAAAAAGCAAATAAATAAGGGATGGCGGTAGAAGGCTCATAGGGTTACACTTTTAGAAAAAGGTTTTGCTCCGTGTGTCCTTCCATTCATATTTTTTACTGTACCTGGTACTCAGTAGCTACTCAGTACTGATTTAGCTACTCCAAAGACCCGTGGAAGGTTCAGGGCATCAAAAAGATAATTGCTAAGGCATGTGTTTTCGACAGGGAACATCCGTTTCGGCTACCATTTCACCCATTCTGCTCTTCCGAATACAACCTTCAATCTGAGCTGTAATCACATATTTGGGGCTTTAATTGATATTCAGCCGTTGCGGTGTGCGGGGGGAAGCAAATAAATGATTGCATGGATTCTTCTGGGATGTCCGTTGCTACAACATAACTGATAGTGCTTTTGGCTTTTGGTCTTCTTGTTCACGGCTTAAATTTCGAATCACAGTTTCCATCATTTAAGAGTCCTTTTTTTACAGAGTGCTTTACAGTAAAATACGGCGATCCACAACCTTCAATTGCCAAAACACTTAATTCTAATGCGCAATTCTCTTTGTGAATAATAATGTTCAATGCCCTTCATCACGCGACATTCATCCGTTAAGAGATTCCCAGTTTCCATCAATTAGGTAGTTTCCATTACTTAGATAGTTTGCTGTACAGTACGCTATACAGTACTGCTTTAACTTCAACATACAACTATTTTCTATTTAAGTGGGCAGTGCTCTTTGCGAAATATTGTTTCGTGCCTTTGACGCGACAAGCAGCCGCAGACCATCTGAAATGTCATACTACAGGGCAGGGAAGCTTCTGTTAGATCTGTTTAGAGCTAGTTTTAAAGAGAATCTTATTTCAAAGCCCAAAGGTAATCACTCTTTTACCATACGACCACCACACCGACAGCTCACCTGTACTGATGATGCTCCTGAACTGTCCTCTACTACAAAACCTACTAAATAAGTTGGTATAGTCATTGGTCATTGGTGCCTTACAAATAATTCAATAGTAAAAAAATGTCCTAAGTATATACATTGCAGTAGTGGAATCGAATCACCCGAACGAAAACAATAGATCCCAAAAGGAAGTGGAGGCCTTTGGATGTGAGGGAGGAGATTGGGAATTGGGATGGATAACGTTGTGGCCTGTAAAAGCTAGCGCCCCATGGTGGCCCTTTATAGCCGAAACTCCTGGGAAGAAGAGTAGTCGGAGCAGCTATCGGTGGAATCAGTGGAAACGCTGCTGTCGCTGGAGCGTCTCTTTTGTTGCTTTCGCCGGGCAACCTTGGACTTGGCACTGGATCGGTAGTGTCCAGATAGGGTGTCGCGAAAGTAGGCTCCAACCTTTTCGCGGGCAGTGCGTTCGTCGACTTCGTACCATCGCCCCTTGACACACTTGACAAAGGCACCAACGGGGGAAGCTTGTCGGACCAGATCCATGACTCTGAGGACCAGGTCAGACTTTTCTTGGCGGTCAGTGGCGTTGATGTATTCCTCAGTGAACATGCTGATGGTCACTCGGAAACGGCGGTTGCCAGGGGCATTGTAGTTATCGTTTCCCTTGCCGCACAAGACAGTGAAGTCGGTGGGCTGGAAGTCAACTGGGAGAGGAGTCAACACCTTGGGGGGAACGGGCTTGCGCTTTCTCTTGGGCTTGGAAGTGTTGGGCTTAACAGCAGAGGACATCAATGACATGAGCGAGTCTGGCATGGGTGTGGTGACCTTCTTGGCGGGGACCATGGAGTGCATGCAGCGAGTGCTAGTGGGGGCAGGAGGTGGGGCAAAGTTTTCTTGTTCTGAAGTGGGTTCCTCCTCGGTGGAAACATCCCATTGGAATGTGCTGGCGCAGAAGTCTTCCTCTTCGTACATGTTGCTCTCTTGGCCGAGGAAGAAGTTGGTGGAAGTGCTCATGGTGGGTTCAGAAAAGTAGAGATCCGGTTGGTGGTAGTTGGTGGAGAATTGCTGAACTGGGTAAGATTGGCTGAACATTTTGATTTGTTTGATTTGAAACTGAAATTATGAGAGGTTGGCGAAGGGATTGATGAAGAGGATGTTTTTAGATTGTGAGGATTGAAATTGTGAGCTTCAGTCTCCAGTCTTCGAAGGTTGGAAAAAAAGGACAGCGTCTGATCGAGAGAGCGTTTTGATCACCGAAGGCCAGAGATAATAATTTTACCACCCGGACCAAAGCCGAAGGCAGCGAGGTGCACCTACCTTTTTGCTGCTCGTACCGGACGGCCGGACGGTACCGGTACTGACCTCAAGACTTGACAAGACGTGGCTGGATCTACGTACGCATGGTACTATGACCAAAGTTTGTACACAAATCTTTACAGTAAGAGGAGGAAATAAGGGTCAAAGTTGCAACAATGATCGAGCGAAATTGAGCATCAACGCGACTTGCACCCTCCATCTCAAAGTGTTTACCAGCTTTGCTTCTACTTCGTCATTTCGTCCAATGTACATAGATCTAAGTAAGTCCAGTACCATGATGGCTGTAATAAGTACCCCTAGAGTACAACGTGCAGAATTTTCGTTCATGAAGTTTCCGTTGGGGGACAGCACTATGTAAAATATTGTGGCATCGATTCTTTTTCAAACTAGAACTCATTGATGGTCAAGATCAAGTATCGAAGGGAGATATATGGATTAATTTCCTCATTACGTCGTTCAGTCCCCTTGGTTGTCAGGTCTGTACACTAGATGCACGCAGTTTCCAGCTGTTATTAGCTAGTTCTGCTCTGTACATGTACTAAAGCCTACAGTGTGGCACAACTTGCTTCATACCAGTGGGATCTGGCTGGAAATTGTTGTACCGGGTACCGGGACCTTGCATTTTTAAAATTGATAGGTGATACCGAATCAGGTTCATTAAGGTTACGGACTTTGTTGTATGCTTAAATGGATTGGTTTATTGGTGCTTTCCCTGAGACCAGACGGGATCGTTAATTATATTTTTCCATTAATCAGAGTACACCCATGCCTACGGGTTTATCAGATTATCACAAGGTGAAGGCGAAAGGATCTTCACTCTCTTACACTGGCTTGCCCTCGAACTTAATCAGAATCAGATCTATTCAAAGTGCGCCAAGGTTTCTTCGGGGGAAGACCATAAATCAGTTTCTGCATGCATTACTCTTGGTCGTAGTGGTACGCCGCCGCTTTCCGCAAGGGCTGAACACGGAAAAGCACCAGTAACCACACCACAACACGGAAAAGCACTGGTAAACACACCACACACGGAAAAGCACTGGTAACCACACCATACTGGTCACAATGTGGCTTCATCATCTATACCGGTATAAAGCCCCAACCTCAGCAAGTGTCTACCGGTATGATGAACGCCACGAGAAGGCTAGCATATCTAGCTAGCTTCTAATCAGAAGCTACTGAAGGCATAGGATAGCCCATGGCCAGGGCATACTAATGGCATGTTTCAAGGTCCACAACAGTCCACAAATAGACGACAGGGTCTCCTCCAGCTCCAACCAAACCATGCGATATTGAAGCTACCAGGGCAGAGAGGAGCATCGGTTTTGTCCCTGTAGATGTTGCGGTCCTCTGGCAATTACCCAGGTCGGTCAAGCTCAGGCCTAAGGCAATGATGCAGCCAGTTAGTTGTGATGAATCCTCAGCCCTACAGTTAACTTATTAATTACACTTTCCCCGAAGGGATTATGTTCTATGGTTAGATTTGGAAACGGTATATGCAGGCCTCGTGCTAGGGCTTGCCTTTAACCGTTTGTGGGTATAGAAAAGGATAAATGGAGATGCATCTTGACATGGAATTGTTTGTGTTGTTTCTCTACGATCTTGACATGGAATTGTTTGTGTTGTTTCTCTACATGTGCTACAACTGGAATAGCTCGTTTCAGTAACTGTGGTTGACATGGATCAGCCATGGATAGGAAACATGAGCTAGAGCTTGCTACCACATGATGTTGACTGTGTTTTGCCAGCCCACCAAAACAAAATAAGACAGGCGGAGCGAAAAGATGACCCTACTATGGGCCACGATACCGTTGTATGTACAACAGCTGACCCCTGCCATGGAATCACCCTCAACCAGCACTTCAAAGGCAAATAAATCAAAAATCGACAACTAGATCTCTGAGTTTGCTTGTCTGGCTGGCTGTTGTTGATGAAAAGGCCTCTGTTGTTGCTGCTCTTCCGTTTTGCCGGTTTGGCTGCTTGCGAGAAATGCATGGCATATTACGCCATTCGTTCCTGCAGATCCTAACTTCCATAGATTCCATACGCGGTACACGGGCCCAGACCCATAATCAGCCAATTCTGGCTCTAGCTCTAGTAGCTAGCTAGTAGACTAGCTAGTACCAGGTAGTAGATCGAAAAGGCTCAAAGCTTGGTTCAGCACCTCGAGGTAAAAATCCCATTTGATTGAAAAGGAGTAAAATTGACAGTTTCAGAACTGGCATTATGGCTTTCCAAGGAGAATCGTCTGATAATCGTCTGAAAGAAACTATCCATTGCTTCAGACGATTTTAGATATGTGTCAGACACTTGTCAGACAATCGCTAAATCCTACTTCAGACGATCGCTAAATCCTTAAGACGATCGCTGGTTCTCTTAGTCATAAATGGTACTGAGCACTCATAGTGCAGTCATCTGTCTGACATAATCGTCTGAAGCATTGAAATCGTCTGAAGGCTTTTAGCGATTGTCTGACAAGGCTTCAGACGATTTCAAAGCTTCAGACGATTGTAAGACAATCGCTAAAAGCCATCAGACGATTATTGTAATCGTCTTATGACTGTCTGATATGACTTAAGACTCATGAAATGGAAATCTCCAAAACTATGTTTTTACATAAATAAAGCACCAATTGGAGGCCTTTACCTGGAGGTGCAGAACATCAGAACCGGGCGAAAGAAAGCTGAAGCCAGTTGAGCTATTAGTCACGATTGTCAGCAATGATTGAAGATTCATTCCCGAGTCGAGTCCATGACGAGTCGTGACAGCCAGGTCCAAGAAGTCCTTCTTGTCGGTCAATCACAACTCCACCCCCTTCAAGATTTTGCTCGTGCCATCGCTTCCTTTTGCTTCATGCAAATAATGGCAGCTTGAATCGAATCGAATCATTGCGAAGCTTGCAACTGGGAACTGCTTTGCAGGTTTCAGAGGGAGTTTCACAAGTTGCAAGTCCAGAGGAAGCACATAGAACAACAACAACATGACCAGAGAGACAGAGCACTTGGACTTCTTGTTGCCATCGCAAACAGCAGCATCACCGTCCAATGATGGAATACCGGTAGGCAGAAAAGCCATGGCGGCCACTTCACAACAACTCTCCGCACAGCGTACCTTTGATTCAGACGATGACCTACTCGTTGACCACGACGTTGATGTTGTCGAAGAAAATCCTGCCGCCGTTATAAATACACCCAGCACCATCCTTCAATCCTCTCCTGCATGGGATTGTAGAGCCGTGCACTGGCCTCCTCGTTCTTGGAAGTCGTTGGCTGTTCAAGGACGTGCCTATGCAGATTCTTTGAATCTCATATTTGAAGTTTCATGCCTTGGAGTATTCGTGCTCGTTTGCTACATTCTCCCAAGTGAGTTTGGCAGTGTTTTGTAATAGTTCTTGTTTTCTCTTTTTGCCATCGAAAATCTCACTTTGTAATTCATTGACTGTTTGACGGAATATCCAATATTTATCCAGACATTCTGATTCCATCGCACCAACGACCAATACCAATCCAGACTATAGGAGACGGTGAGGCCTTAATTGATCTAACTTTTGACAATGAGTACCACCAGAATGAGACAGTGCCAGGTTCATTACTAGCCATCTTGTGCGTCGGGATTCCATTTGTACTATTTGCTTTGATGGGTACTTTCTTGGGACCTCGGGGAGATGCTCATGCTGCCCTGTGCAGCTATCTCTTGGCAATGGCTCTGAAGATCTTTGCGGTGGCCTGTATAAAGAACTATGCTGGATACCTTCGACCCAACTTCTACAACATGTGCCAATTCAACTCCAAGACTTTGGTGTGTGACGACGAAACGACATCTGCGCGGGAATCCTTTCCATCTGGGCATGCGGCGACGGCTTTATCTTCCATGACATTGGTTGCACTGTTCTTCCTGGGAAAAGTACGCGGTGGGACACGGCAGCGGGGTGTCATGTTGGTGAATGATGACCCTTGGAGCATCATATGGACGCCGTCCTTGGTGTCAAAGCTTCTGGCAGTGCTGGCAGTCTCGCCCATTATGTTTGGGATGCTTATTGCGGCATCACGTGTACGTGATGGTTGGCACCATCCAGCCGATGTGGTGTGCGGAGGAGTTGTAGGGGTTGGATGTGCTCTGTTTGCCCACAGCTTGTGGTAAGTTCTGAAGCTACTAGTACGTGAAAAAAGTCAAGCGTCCGTTTTGGATGCTCTCTTACAATGTGATTCACCTTGATTGGTCCTCCTCACTGTCATAATCAGGTATCCATCAGTATACAGCCCATATGCGGGAATTCCTCTATCGACGGTTCAGCAGATTCTGGAGACGCGAAAGCAACTCGCGAGGGCAAACAATGATCCATACCGGTAGCACTAGCTAGAGTCGAATCGTTTCGGCAAGCAATGTTCTATTCTGTAAGACCATACAATAACTACATAAATCACCGTTCTCGTGGCACTAGGACACTCTTCTGGGTTACCGTATACGATGCATTCTTTGATTGCCAGCCAATAGCTAGATGGGTACCCTACGGTAGAGGCAGGGGTCAGGGTGTGAAGGATAGATCAATCGTGGAACTGCCAGAAGCAAAGCGGTTCGCTTTCTTTGGTCGTGATTGGGGCCTGAGGCGAAGCGAGATGCCTTTGATCGACTGATTCGATTCGATTCACTCTGGAGCCTGATGAGTGCAATGAAGCAACGGCGGACGTGTATCCAAGTAGCTAGCTAGGCAACTTGGCGGATGGAGTTTGGTTTCCTACCGTGCCATCTTGCCTTCGTTCTTGCCATGGTTACCAAATGGGATTTCTGCTTGCATCCTTTGAACCTGAATCAAGTTTGGTTGGTGTTACTGCAGGCGATCTCGGGTGACGTGGCCACTGACTGCGGGGTTTCTTTGAACTCGCCACTTGATACTTCAGGAGCTCACATAAAATGCTCAACACTGGGCTTCTGTCTCTTACTTGGGGGATGGAATGATACATGAGTGCTTGAGTTTAGATGAGTGATTTCTATAGTACACGGTACAATCTAATCTAATCTAATCTACTGCTGCATGCTGTTGTTTCACAGCCCGTACTTTGCTTTGCCCGAGAAGTCAATCTGGATCATCTCGTTCTTGATGCGGTTGGTGTGGTGCTCTTCCATTAGTCGTCTCCGGAAATTACCGTACTTTCCAACGTTATCATCATAGTCACCAAACTGGATTTCGGATTGCATCCTTTGCACCAGAACCTGGATTAAGATCTCGTGAGTGCAGCTGCGGTCCTTCTTGGGCAAAGTAGCCACCGCTAGGGGCTCTTTGAACTCCACCACTCTGGAATCTGATGGATACTTCATGAGCTCGGTTTGGTTGCTAACGTCAAAATGCTCCGCAATGGGCATGCGGTCTGCTCCGGCGATGGGCAACAATGGGTAGTGCGCCCTCACGTTGCGGTCGACAGTGAACTGGTATTCAATGTCGTGTAGCTCATGGTTGATGTTGTTGTCAGCAGCCTCCTTCGTGGGACGAAACATCAACCCCTCTTTCTTTAGGGCTTTGTACTCTTCTTCATGTCCGTCAGTGCTGGACTCTGATGCTGCATGTGTACTGCTGCTTTCCATCTTGTCATTTGATGTTCGTTTCTTGTTCCAATGAAGGATAGATGATAGTTTTGGGAGCTTCGTTGCCCGCCTCTTGGAGCTTCGGACCTCCGAGAGGTTCCTCTTCTTGTTTGGCTTGGTGAAGACTGGGATTGGATAGTCTTGTTCGATGAACTTGAAAGCGGATCGTTCATAGGAGACAACGAGGGAAGGACGGATGAAGGATGGCTTTCGTTTGGCAAGCTTTCCCATCACTGCAAACATGGTGTCGATCACATCAGCTTGGTCGGCCGTGTCTTCGTCCTTGATTGCTTCCTTGATGACCTCCAGGGACTGCAAGAAGTTAGGTTCGGTGGATTCAAGGTTCACAAGCTGAGCTATCAAAGAGTCGGGCACCAATACTCGATACTTGTCCACACTGTTCTCTTCAAAAGCACGAGGGGACTTGACCTTCAGCTCCAAAAATCCCTTGTTCTTGGTGGCACCTTCGCGTTGCACATCAACGATGGACCCATCCTCTTTCCGAATGTAGCTGAGGTAGTATCGAATGCGCATTCGGATCTTTGTTTTGACTTGGTGGTTGTAGAATACGGCCGAGGTTCCGTAGTACGTGAGAGTGGCTTTTGTACGTCCCTCGCCGACTCCTCCCTTTTCTCGACTGACGAGCTGAATTCCCTGATCTTGGAGCTTCTGTTGCACTTGTGTCCATGTGTCTTGAGGAATCACTGACTTGCGCTCCCTACGCTTGCCAGTGATATCGTTTGTCTTCTTCTGTTTTGTCTGGGTTGCCGCTTGTAGCGCTTGGACAAAGCCCAGACCAACCCTGGATTCGGCAATGATAAGCTTTCCCATATCTCCTGGGTTGGTTTGCGCTTTGGTATTTCGTACATACCAAGTGCAGCTCGCACTGTCACCGTCATTATTTGGTGTCCTGTTGGTCTCGCCGTTGTCTTCCACTGCAGGGAGACTTTGCTGCTGCTGTTGGTCGACTTTGTTGTCGGTGAGGTCAATCAGCGCTTCATCATGAAAATCGTCACGGACAAGACGTGGAGCTTCGATTTGCTTGGGGATCATATTGAATTGTTGTTGTTGGTTCTAGTTGTGTTTGCAGTTTATGAGCACAGCAATCGATCCTTAGCTTCACGAATTGAGATGGGCGAAGCATTCCCTATCACCGCCCGGCGGTGGCTGTTTGAGAGTGGAAGAGCTGAGAAGACTTCGTCGCTCTGAGCGGTGAACAGGAGAGAAGCTGTCTGCTCAAGGCGCTTCTCGTCTTGTCCGGACAGACAGCCACCTGGCTAACCACGAATTGACATCCACTCCCGAGCGAACTGAAGCCATCCAACCACGAATGGTTCTTCCCAATGAACAGCTGCGAAGTTCCTCCGTGGTCGCAACAACTCCACTGGAGAGGGCATGACACCCTCTTGCGACGCTCTCACAAAATCAAAAGAAACGAACCAACAAAAAGGCAACAATAGGCTTTCGCCCTTCACATCAACCCCATAGTTAGACAACAGAATGGGACTACTCAACACCAATAGAACCGACAGTGACCCAACACTTGTTGAAAGTGTTACGAGTCAGTTGATAGACGACAAGTTCTGCAAAAATGGGGAGTTTCACGCAGCGACGGCAAAAAAGTTTGTGGAAGAGCTCCGAGAAAGACGAGACACTTTGCAGCAACAAGTGCATGATACTCGATACAGCGAGCGAATTTTGAGAGATGTTAATACACACCGGTCTGCATCCAAAAACGCACACAAAAAGAGCACCTTTGGGGGCAGTCCGGTGCTCTTGGGCCTGGACAAAGTGATCATTCCTTTGGCTGACCAGATTGCTCAAATGATCGCTGATGGTGCCGACAAAGAAACTATACAGTCTGTGGCAGAAGAGTTCGTCAGGGTATATTCACCTTATGAAACTCCGGTAAGTAGATACTATATGTGCAATGCGTCAACTTACCAAGAGGACAAATGCAACGTGTCGTCTGCTTACCCTGCCGACTTCAAACTCTCGTTGAACGTTGCACTATACTGTAGAATCTTGTTGTAACAGCATGGAACAATAACAATCAGGTTTGGGCTGCCGCATTGAAAATAATAACGCCGTGGACCACAAGAAAGGACGACACAAAGAAGGATACTTTGGAATCGGTTAACTTGGATGTAGAAGAGCCCGATCATGTTCAAGAAGTCTCCAAGATTCTCGGCCGGGACATTGCCAGCGGCTATCGTTTGACCAAGGAAGATACCGAGGCCCTCAAAGAGGGAGACTTTGATCTCTCGCGTCTCAATCCTGGCTCGACGGCCTTTTGGAGTCGACCCAATTCCGAAGGGCTAGCAATGGCGGACGAGAAGGTATCTGCTGAGTATCCAAGGTCGGACGAAAAAGTGACTTACTTGTCCCGTAAGTGTCCAACCAACGACAAGGCCACGATGATGGCACCACACCGCTCACTATCGCTTCTTCCTGCTTCTTCAGCTCGCTATCGCAGTAAGTTCTCGACAAAGATGACTGGCTACGTCATGCGCAATGGAGAGAAGCACCGGTTCAAGATCAAGCTTGGTGCAGAGGTTCACTCCGAGATCATTGTGATCCGACTCCGTCAGTACATGGGGTTCCATCAAGATCAGATGCGACACTATCCACAACTGAAGATGTACCTCGGTGACAAGTCGTATGCCCAATGGGAACGGGATCTTCAGTTGAAGTATGGAACAGAGCAGCTGCGACGACACATCTTGCAAAGAGGACAAGACGAGGAAACCGGCGAAGCGTGGGTTGTGTTTCGGGATGTGGCGATTGAAGCTCGGCCAAAGACGCAGATCCGCGTATCCGCTGTGGACTACGGAGCGTACGATGGGTCCAGAAGCAGAGAAGTACGGGCGTCAGCCCTGATCTATGCCTTCACAGCTCAAGGGGACCATTCCACCAAGAATAGCAGGGAGGTACTGGTCCAGGATGAAGATGGCGAATACCAAGTGGAGCACAGAGTCCACGACGTGGGACTAGCCCTTGGAAGAGCTCCTGTAGTGTTGCAGGATTCTCGAGACGTGCTGAATTTCCCCCTATCGAAGAACAAACCAGAAGAATATGACCGCAACTATGTTTGGGCGGACAAGGAAGGGAACAAAGTGAGCTTCATTTGGAACGATTTCTGGCATCACTTACGGGACCATTCTGGAGCGACGTTTTCTGACTTCAAATGGAGCGCCCGACTCATCGGTTCTCTCACAACAGATGAGATCAGGGAAGCAGTTGTTTCCGGAGGAATACCAACAGACCTTGTCGAATCTTACGTCTACCACATTTCCAACATGCGCAATAGAGCTGTTCGGGCATTCGCTCTCGAACAAGGTGAAGGAAGTGTTCCAGGACGCGGACCCATACAGCTCACGGTACCTGAACCGCCTACTGACTTGGTTAGGTCTGATGGGTATGAGGTGATCAAGAAGGGAAAGATCGTTGGCAACTACTATCCTGGAAGCACAGTCTTGCCACTGTTACAGGAAACCTGGTTCACCAGGATAAACGGGTTATTTCAGGGCCAATCAATTGGTCGTGATATTGGTGCTCATTATGTCGAGGCATCCTTCGCTCCATTGGTACGGCTGGATACTCATGTTGGCAGGACGCTGTGGGAAAGGGAAGTACCATGGACAATGACCACTTTTTCCGTTGGCATTGGGTTGAATGCGACAGGTAAGTTGAGAATGCTGTGTCCCACTATACGAGCATCGTGGCAGAAGGCCGCTCACGTATCGCTTTTCAGTTGCCAGGATTGTCAAACCCAACAGGCTCTACGTTGGTGCCGAGGGTCGCTCCAGGGCATACGTTGTACACGACACGCTCTCGTTCTCTGTGGGTGTTGGGTTCCCAGCAGTGAGTTCTGCTCTGGCCAAGCTTGGTCCAGAGTTCTCTGTGACTGCCGAGCTGTATCGCCGACGATTTCAGCATGTGCATTTTGCAGAGTCTGTCTCAGCTGGGTATCGAAGCCCCGTGCAGGTTCACAAGATCACCAGACTTGGCAACATTGAAAGCCTGGCCGTGGCAGTCCTTACTCCAGGAGATGTCCTTCGAGAGTTCCAGGCAATTGGTGCCACTTCCGCAGTTCATTTAGGTTTTGGGCTTGGCAACTATATTGGGTCCGTCGGAAGCTCGCTTTCTTTTGAAGGAGGGCAGACCAATTGGCAAACCGTCACTTACACAAAGGACCAGCTTGGCTCCTTGCATCTACTGCTGGAGAACGATTCCGAGAGGACGTTTGGTGCCGGGACGGAGCAGTTCAATGTGACTGCAAACTCGGTTGTGAACGCGGCGGCGTTTGCCTTGGGTGCCCACAGCAACCGCATCAACTACAAAGTGTGGAACATTGAAGTGGCGCCCAAAGAGTACGACTTGGAGCAAGCGACGGACGGAATCAAAAGAAGCGGGTCTCAAGCCGAAGAATTGGTGGCTACTTTGAAGACATTGCGTCGCCACCCAGAGTTGGCCCTCCCCGAGGTTCGAGCGGCGAGCAAGGTCGAACTTCCCGACAATGTCAAGCTTCGCTTCCGTATCCAAGCCAACAAGCTGGAGAAAAGGTCAAACGCACAGCTGTTGTACCTGTTCAACCATGATCGCAAGAAAGAAAAGACTCGGGTCACCGTTGAAAGCGACGAGTACCAATATGATTTCTTCTCAAAGTCTAGATCCAAGCGAGGCTACGCTGGTATCGAGAAGACAGTTCTGGACTTGAAAACGAAGAACTCCGTCGTGCGAGAAGGAACCAGCAAGCGTTTGACTGTCGAGATGGACCGACAGAACCCCCGATCTCTCGTTGTTTGGGTTGATGTCTTTGACTACAAGCGGACTCTGGATCGTCGTGGATTGCTCAAGCTGTTGGACAGTTTGAACAAGAGATACCAAAACCCTGACGACGAGGGTGCTGATTTCTTTGTGGAGCCCCCAATGCCCACCGAGGAACCATACAAGCGCATCTACGCCAATTCCCGGATCTACGTCAATGGCGACAAGCTCATCAAGTTGGTGGAAGAGAAAACTCCGAAGGAATTGTTTGCTGAAATCCAATCTGTGGCGAAAGATCCGATTGGCTTTCACAACAAGCGCAAAATCAAGCAAGGTTTCAAGCAGTTGACCAAGGCAGTAGAGGAACTCAACAAGCTCACTCCAGGGGAGGATGCTGAGAAGCAAACAATCAAAGTGCAGGACCGCTTGGCCGTGGCAGCCTTGCGACTTGTGAATGCCCTCTACCAAAGCAAGACGTGGGGAGTGTCCTATCTGCACAAGCTCTTTGGTAGTAATGGGATGCTTGTGGTGGGCGAAGTGTTTGGTGTACATGAGCGCACCAACATGCTTCAGGATCCCGATTGGGTCTCGAGGCTCCGTTATGCTGGCAAGAGTTGGGGCAAGCTAACAAACGTTCCTCCCATCTCTCGTTTCGTGAGGGTTGACCAGCCCACTCCTGCCAATGAACATGCCATGCTGGATATTCCCATGGAGCGGTTCCTCGGCACCATTGTCACGGGATACTCGGGAGGAATGGTTGGACTTGGCAGCCGATAGACGCCTCCTTTTCTTTGTTGAAGGAACATCAAGACACCAGCTTTTCATTTACATGTGCCGTGACACCAACCATACTAGTAGCTCCTGTAGAATTTCAAAATCCTCTGCTCTTTCTCAACTACAGCTACCAGTACACGGAGTGGTCTAGCTCTGGCAATTTACATGTGCCGTGACACCAACCATAGCTCCTGTAGAATTTCAAAATCCTCTGCTCTTTCTCAACTACAGCTACCAGTACTTGGAGTGGTCTAGCTCTGGCAAGCTACACGTAGTCTAGATGATGCTTTGTTGAAACATACTGGTATTAATTAAGCAAGCTGCCACATGCCCAGCTATCCATACCTCACAGGAGATGCTCAGGTATCTGATCTTGAGAAACCTTGAGGTGGCAAGTGGCAAGCTTGTGGAGGGCTGTTGCCTTGTTGCCTTGTTGCCTTGTTGCCTTGTACCACGGTAGTTCAAAATTAGAATAGAAATTACCTCGGCAGTCTATCTGCCTGAGCCCTCACCCCCTTTTTTGGTATTTCCTGCTTCCTGTTTCCTGTTCCGGTGAAGCCAAAATATAGGGATAGAGATAGGCACAAGCCAACTCTGCAAACTTAGGGGTAGGAATAAATCATGATTATTCAAGGTTAGTGCACTCAACACAATAAGCCAGCAGAAGCTATAAAAGTTACAGGTACATACGGGAGTGACAGCTGTAAAATTATGGTTAGCGGGCGGCAACACACGACGAAGTCGGGTGTTGTCGCCAGGGCTACCTTAAATAAAAAAGAAGGTTATATTGAAGGAATGATACCGCGCAGGGCTACTTTGAAAGAAGGGTGCAATCTCAAACATGTCATCATTCTTCTATCTGTCTTTCTGCCGAGGTATCGCAGCTCCCGCTGACTTAAGAATGGTGAGGTGGAAGGGTACAACATGTACTGTACCACTGTACCACTGTACATGTACCAGCAGTAAACGATGAGAACAGCTTACAGCTACTGTACCACGTGTCTTCCAACTTCCAAGTCATTCTTATTTATTTACGCTGTACCTCAGTACTGAGAGCTACCGAGTACTCCTGTGAGAAAATAAATAATAAGTATACAGGTAAGCGTCTCTGCCTGGACTCCGGAGCTCTCTGGAGTCTGGAGTCTGGAGTCCTACAATGTTCCATTATATCTACTAGCGGAAGTGGTACTGTACACTGTACCAATTAACACCTTACCGGTATATACGTGGAAGCCACGTGTCCAATATTAAATAAGTTTGGCTACCAAGCAAGGCAATCTTGCTTTTGGGAGATCACAAGTTTTAAGCAATCTCCTGGAACATCACACCGAATCGCGCCTTCTTTCCACTTCATATATCTATTATTCTCCTCCTTTTCCCAGTCTTGATACTGTTAATTCTATTAGGAAACTAAAACCATGTAGACACTCTTATTGAGAAAGGAAAGGCCTTGAATTTATTTAAAGTTGAGGGAATGAACCATTCATTGTTAACTCCTCTCGAGACTATCCCATTTAATTGGTAATCCCACACTGTCCCACATCTTTTCGAGGATCTCATCCCACCGGTATGAACGAAGCATTTCAAGGGTAGTTGAAGTAAATATAGGGCTAAAGGTAGTTTCTACTGTGCATAGTTTTGTACGAAACTTTTTTTCCACACCTACCTGTCTACCAAAGCCGATGGACGCCACGGCAGCCCGAAGATCCAAAATGCGAACAGAGCAAGAAAGATCCTTTGTGGTACCTCTCCTCTCTCGCCCTCGAGTTTATCTCATCTCACAATTCAATTCTACTCCACAAACAAAACAGAAACCATGCAACCAAACAGCAACAACAGCAGTGTCAGTAGCACCATGTGGGATAACGACTGGTCCCAAGATATCTCCATGGTTTTGGACTCTTCCGAGCCATGTTGGTCGGAAGACATCTCCGACGTTGTCTCACGCTCCTCCCTTAGTACATCCATGCATTCCCTCAGCGCATCGATCCACTCCTCCCCACAACAACGGGACGCCTATGGACATCGCATTGCCCGACGAGCTGAACGAAGCCGCAGGCGACACGCTCAAGCTCAAACTATGAAGTTGAAGCTGCAACGCAGTCGCGGATCACGAAATCTGTTTTCAGAAAACAAGAACGAAGAAGTGTCCCAACGACGATCCTCCGCTGGATCCTCCACACGATGAGTTGGTGGCGACGAAAGACCTTCTTTTGACCATCTCTTCGAGCAGCTCATCAAAACCTCTCTATGCATCCATTTGATACCCTTCAAGGATTTCTTCTCTCCATATCCTGTTCTTTAATAGAATAACCCACTAGCTAGCGAAAACGATTCCAATAAGGTGTACTCAGGTAGATCGTAAAGTTGTAAGCTTGTTTCTGATTGAATCAAGTATGAGTAGCGAGTGCCGTCATCTCGCTCAGGATGCACAAGCTTCATTTTTCGAGCAACTCTATGTTTGCTCCCTCATACTGGATGATTCCAAGCACCTCGATCAGCAACATAACATGTACATGAATGTAATCAGGTGGCGAAGGGCTGACAACAAGCAAGGAGGATGCACCCGCCAATCACCCACTGCCGATTAAAGTTTGACTTCATGACAAGCCAGAACCCCTGCCATCATTAATCACGATAAAAAGCCTGAGGACTTGGGATAGACGATGAGCTATGACGACAAGGTTTACCAGGTACTCAAGAACTACATGTATTGCTGTGCGTAGCTACTAGCTAGAGCTGAGCCAAGTGTAAGGAGTGAAGATGAAGTAGGGACAGCTGGAAGCGTGAAAATACTACATGTACCAGAACTCTTGAGTGCGGGCACAGACATCACATTCATCACTGACCACGGAATGCAAAAGGGATTCAAAGCAGAAGAAGCAAACGGCCAACGGTAACAAGAAGGAAGCAAGCATGGGACGGATCTCGAATTGTGGTGTCATGTTTGGTTTGGCATGCATCTTAGTCTAGCTTGCACTTTTCAGAAGTCTCATCATTGTAGTAGTACGGAATTGAGTAGGCAAAACGAGGCTTCGTGTCAACTTATGAGCTCAATTTGCTGAAAAATCAGTCCTACTACTTGACTAGTAGACTGCTCCGACTGGTCATCATCCAACGTACCAACCAAACTAAGAGTCCGTGACTACAAGCCAGCTAGCTAGTGTCTTGGGCCATCTTGGCATTCAGCCAAACAGCCAACAGCCAAACCTATTGGAGCTGTTCTTAGAGCTTCGGAAGTGCTCTCTCCATTCTCCAACGCCACACAAACCGAGGATCGATGGCTACGGCTCGTTACATGTATGTATCCCGTCCCTATTGTTCCAGCCACACTGCAGTACAGAAGCTAGCTCTTGAGAATGCTGGTACCGGAGAGGCCAGCTCAGCAGCACACCAGCAGCTAAAGCTCTCATCTTGCATGCAATTTTTCTCGTAAGGTTTCTGGTTCTGTAGCTAGCTACAGTAGTAGCTTGGACTCTACTAGCAGCACCAGCTATTAATAGTCTAGTAGTACATCTGCAATGTATATGGCATGTATGTACTCAATTACAGTCTTAACAGTTTTTGCGGACCACAGGATACCATAACTACTGCGGGGTACTCAGTATACTGGGTACTGTAGTAGATTTAGGCCACATCACGTCCTCACGACTTCGTCAGAAAGACTTGAGTACTGAAAGCTGTACTGAAGCAATGTTTAAATGTTTGTCAACTTCTTGTACCTCAAAAGTTTGGCAAGATCATTATTAAAAGTCAACGCACCAAGGATAACCATGATCACGTTGCCAGCTTAGCTGTCTAAATGAATCCCGCTGACGGATCCAGCATGAAAATGACTCCCTTTTTCGTTTGATGGATCCCTTCAGAGGCAGTTGGCTTTCTCGATGGCTCTATGCCTATGGGAAACCATCAAGAATGCCCACAGCGTCTACAAGGACTATCAAACTAACTATTAAGCACTCGTGACTTGCTTAATAGAGCCATTTTGCCGCACTCGGAGCCATTAACACGTGTTAAAGAGAGGAAGATAGTGTAGAGGATGCCGATCGGCCGATCGGCCGATCGATCCGCTGATCCAAAGATGGCGGTGTTACTTCGATATTTTGGCCAAGACTACATGTGCGGAACGTTCCTAGGCTTACAAGGGAAGCAGTGGGGAGTCATGGACGGAGCAATGAACAACAAGAAAGTAGAAGCCACAACAATAAGCAAGCGACCATGGCGCTTGAGGTGGACTCTGATTCCGATGATTCCATCGCTCTGGCGATGGCGACTGAGCCTGAGCCCGAGCCCGACACCCTGGAAGACTTTTTTGAAGAGGCTGATCTTCATTGGTTGTCAGCTGATCAGGTGCGAGAGATGCATGAAAAGGACAATCAAGGGAAGGTCCCACCACCGTTGAAAGACTGGACGGAAGTGGACCCAAAAGATACGAAGTACCACATCACCGTGGGAAAGGCCAGAAGGGTTCTTTGGCAGCAATTCAAGCAAGAGCATGGTCTCTTCAAGAGCAACATTGGCAAGATCAAGGAGAAACTGAATGCCACAACAGAAATGATGGCGGCGTACAAGTTTCTATTTGGCCAAGACAGTCGGATTGCAGTGCTATTGCAAACCAAGCTGGAGCTCTCGAAACAAGAGTATCTCCATTTCATGGTCACCTTTCTGAAGTCTTGCCGCTACAAAATGCCTGTTGCTGCTTTGCATCGCTCTATGGACAACTTTGATTTGATGCCTTTGCGGCAATACAACACGATTTGGTCCAGACTTTCCGCTCTACCAAGGAATGCTCGGGGAGAATCGTTCTGGCAGGAGCTAGAAACGATTATCAACGATTGTTTGATGGAGCTCTTCATTGGACCGAATGATGACGAAGAAACGGAAGCCCTTCGCTTAGTGATGCCCTGGTTGCTTGGTTTAGACGATGACAAATTGCATTTCAACTACAGCACAAGCACGGATGCCGACGGGTTGAAAAGAGATCACCATGCACAAGACAACCGGAGAGGTTTCACGGCTCACACCTGCTGCCATTCGGCCACATGTGTTCCGATTCAGGTTGCCTTTCAGCGAGAAGGAGAGACGGTTGTAGAGTGTACAAGGCGACTCATCAACGATCTTTTTGGGAAGCACACCGGCAAGTTGGTTCGACTATCGAACGTGACATTCTTCATGGACCGAG